CACCCTGCAGATGAACAGCCTCAAGGCCGAAGACACCGCCACCTACTACTGCGCGAGAGGTTATGCTGGTAGTGCTTGGAGTGGTGGTAGTGCTGGTGGTGTTGATGGCTGACAGTATTAACATCACCAACACCAGCACCAAAAACACAAGTTTGGAAAGGAGCTACAAGGTCACCTACTCCAACCATCCTCCTATCACCACGACCACTCACTAAACTACTAAGTGATGATAATGGTGATGACGATGAAGGCCCTGCTCATGCTGATATTGATCATTATGTTGATGAGGCTGATGGTGCTGCTGCCTTCATCCATGGCACAGGGAAAGGGCCTGGGCACAAATTCTCCTGCCCACAAAAAGCATCTCCAAAACAAGGTGGTAGTAGTGGTTGGAGTTATGGTGAGGATATTGCTGGTGCTGGTGCTGGTGGTGCTGCTGCTGGTCATGACGATGGTGCTGGTGATATTTATACTGTCAGCGATCAACATCACTGGCACTACCACCACACCAACCACTACCAGTGTACCAGGCACCATCAACAACGTCATGAAGACCATCACCAACACCATCAGCACGACCAGCACCACAACCACCATAACCAGCAGCATCAGCAATCTCAGCAACACCACTCCAACCACCATCATACTCTTTCGCGCAGTAGTAGGTGGCGGTGTCTTCGGCCTTGAGGCTGTTCATCTGCAGGGTGGCCGTGCTCTGCCCGTTGTTCCTGGAGATGGTGAAGCGTCCCTTCACCGCCGGCGCGTAGTATGTGTAACTACCACCAGCGTTAATTTGTGCGACGAACTCGAGCCCCTTCCCAGGTGCCTGTCGCACCCAATACATCCAGTAGCTGCTGAAGGTGAAGCCGGAGCCCTTGCAGACCAGGGTCAGGGACCCCCCGGGACTCACGAGGCCCCCTCCGGACTCATCCAAGGTCTCGGCCGCCCGCAGCCCTGGGGAGGAAGGACAGAGAGCGGTGGGCTCAGCCGCACGGCACGGGCCCCCGCACGGCCGTGGGGAGCCGGGGCCGCCGGCAGCCTCCGCGGGACCGGGCCCTACCTGGGACGGCGGCCAGGAGGAGGAGGAGGGCGAAGGCGTGAGGCCGAGGACTCATGGTGGGGAAGGGAAGGGGTGCTGGGTGCTGTGGGGACGCTGTGTGTTTGAAGGCACCCAAGGGGGCATTAATCGGGTTAACCCTCCTTGGGTTATTTAATTGCACTGAGTTAATTCGTAATAAGTCAACGGAGCCCACCGCTCTCTGTCCTTCCTCCACCAGGGCTGCGGGTGGCCGCCACCTTGGATGAGTCCGGAGGGGGCCTCGTGAGTCCCGGGGGGTCCCTGACCCTGGTCTGCAAGGGCTCCGGCTTCACCTTCAGCAGCTACTGGATGTATTGGGTGCGACAGGCACCTGGGAAGGGGCTCGAGTTCGTCGCACAAATTAACGCTGGTGGTAGTTACACATACTACGCGCCGGCGGTGAAGGGACGCTTCACCATCTCCAGGAACAACGGGCAGAGCACGGCCACCCTGCAGATGAACAGCCTCAAGGCCGAAGACACCGCCACCTACTACTGCGCGAAAGACTATCGTGGTGGTCAGGCTCTTGATGGTGCTGCTGGTGTTGACAATATTGGTGCCCTTCCTGATGATGATCATGGTGGCGTTGGTCCTGGTGCTGTCCGTATTCATGGTGAGAAGAGCTGCGGGAAGCTGGGACTGGTTCTGTCGGGTGTATTCCCTGGGCCATGAACAATGCCAGCAGCAGCAGCAGCACCACCAATCTCACCAGGATGAGCACAACTACCATAACCACTACCAGCATAACCTCTCGCGCAGTAGTAGGTGGCGGTGTCTTCGGCCTTGAGGCTGTTCATCTGCAGGGTGGCCGTGCTCTGCCCGTTGTTCCTGGAGATGGTGAAGCGTCCCTTCACCGCCGACGCGTAGTATGTGGTACCACCAGTGTTAATAGCTGCAACGTATTTGAGCCCCTTTCCTGGCGCCTGTCGCACCCAATACATGGGGTAGCTGCTGAAGGTGAAGCCGGAGCCCTTGCAGACCAGGGTCAGGGACCCCCAAAGCTGAGCCCACCGCTCTCTGTCCTTCCTCCCCAGGGCTGCGGGCGGCCGAGACCTTGGATGAGTCCGGAGGGGGCCTCGTGAGTCCCGGGGGGTCCCTGACCCTGGTCTGCAAGGGCTCCGGATACACCTTCAGCAGCAAGGACATGGGATGGATCCGACAGGCACCTGAGAAGGCGCTTGAGTGGGTCGCAACTATTAACCCTGATGGTAGTAGCACAAACTACGCGCCAGCGGTGAAGGGACGCTTCACCATCTCCAGGAACGACGGGCAGAGCACGCTCACCCTGCAGATGAACAGCCTCAAGGCCGAAGACACCGCCACCTACTACTGCGCGAAACAAGATGGTAGTGGTTGTTGGGGTTATGTTGCTTAGTTCCTGTTGCTGCTGGTGCTGCTCATGATGATGGTGCTGGTGATGTCAATATTGTCAGCCAGCAACTCCACCAGCACTACCACCACACCAACCACTACAAGTGGTTTTCGCGCAGTAGTAGGTGGCGGTGTCTTCGGCCTTGAGGCTGTTCATCTGCAGGGTGAGCGTGCTCTGCCCGTTGTTCCTGGAGATGGTGAAGCGTCCCTTCACCGCCGGCGCGTAGTTTGTGCCACTACCACTGTCGTGAATACCCGCGACGTACTCGAGCCCCTTCCCGGGCGCCTGTCGCACCCATGCCATGAGGTAGCTGCTGAAGGGGAAGCTGGAGATGTTTGGGACTACCCATGCACTGCAGCGAGCTCTGTTTTACCCCCAGTATCACAACATTTTGTTCCAAAAATTATTTTCCCATTTGTGGCTACCCTTGCCCCAAATAGAAGGATGAATTGCCTCTTATGCTTACTCTTGACCTCAGTATGGTCATGCTTTTGCCCTTTCATGAGAATTTTTGCCCCAAATACAGAGATGTTTGCCTCTATATACCCTCTTTGCCCCAAATATGAGCACCTGGCCCATTTCCAGGGGCAATGTGGCCACAAAATGGGGGGTCTTTGCCATTTATGGATATTTTTCAACCCAAATAATACACATTTCCTACTTTTTAACACCAGTTTGAATGATATTGGGGTGTTGATTATTATCCTCTTCATTAACGCACATATTACATGGATTTTTTTCCTCCTTTTCCTTTTTTTCCCAGAATACTAACATATTTTTAACACTTTGGGGGCAGCTGAGTCCAAAATGTGGGAATGTCTTTCCACTTTTTATATAAAAATCCCCAATTTGAGAAGTTTTTGCTGAGACCTGCAGCGCTGCCCAGCCAAGCGCAGCCAGCCAGATGTTTGTGCGGGGGCTATTTCTGGGCAGAAAAACGAGTTATTTTGGTACGGCCTGAAACCTCAGCAGCTGGAGCAGCCCCAAAACACGGCTGCTTTCTGTTTTCTGAGTCCATTTACGAAGAGATTGCAATTAAATTACTCAGCATTAATATTAATTAATCCATCCAATTAAGTATTTCCTTGTCATAAGTGATCAGTGATCACGATGAAATAAATGAATGCACCCCATGAATTAATGCGGGGTAGAGAATTAAATGGAATAATAGAGAAATGAAACAAATGCTTGTCAAAGATCTAAATGAAATAATTCCAGAGGCCCAATTAATTAGAATATGGTGGAAAATACAAAAAAAATCAACTTTGTTGAGTTCCTTGTCTTCACCAAAGAACTGCAATGAGTTCCAGTCAAGAATCAACCATGAAATAATTGAGTGCATGCAATTAATGAGTGCGTGGCATGGAATGCAATGAAATACCCCAAGGAGGAAAGGCAATGAACGCCCACTCCTGGAACCTTCAAATACGGCCATCAACAGCATTGCAACAGCACCCAGCACCCCTTCCCTTCCCCACCATGAGTCCTCGGCCTCACACCTTCGCCCTCCTCCTCCTCCTGGCCGCCGTCCCAGGTAGGGCCCGGTCCCGCGGAGGCTGCCGGCGGCCCCGGCTCCCCACGGCCGTGCGGGGGCCCGTGCCGTGCGGCTGAGCCCACCGCTCTCTGTCCTTCCTCCCCAGGGCTGCGGGCGGCCGAGACCTTGGATGAGTCCGGATGAGGCCTCGTGAGTCCTGGGGGGTCCCTGATCCTGGTCTGCAAGGGCTCCGGCTTCACCTTCAGCAGTTTCAGCATGGGATGGATCCGGCAGGCACCCGGGAAGGGGCTGGAGTGGGTCGCAGGTTTTAACAGCGATGGTGGTAGCACATGGTACTTGCCGGCGGTGAAGGGACGCTTCACCATCTCCAGGGACAACGGGCAGAGCCTGCTCTTCCTACTGATGAATGACCTCAAGGCCAAAGACACCGCCACCTACTAGTGTGCGAAAAGTGCTGATGGTTCTGGTGTTGGTGCTGAAGATATTGGTGGTGCTGGTGCTCCTGGTAATCGTGGTGCTGGTGTTGGAGATGTTAATCCTGTCAGCCATCAACACCACCAGCATTATCACCACAACCACTACAAGCACCTTTCGCGCAGTAGTAGGTGGCGGTGTCTTCGGCCTTGAGGCTGTTCATCTGCAGGGTGGCCGTGCTCTGCCCGTCGTTCCTGGAGATGGTGAAGCGTCCCTTCACCGCCAGCGCGTAGTATGTGCTACTACCATCAGGGTTAATAGTCGCGACCCACTCAAGCGCCTTCCCAGGTGCCTGTCGGATCCATCCGATGGCGTAGTAGCTGAAGGTGAAGCCGGAGCCCTTGCAGACCAGGGTCAGGGTCCCCCCGGGACTCACGAGCCCACCGCTCTCTGTCCTTCCTCCCCAGGGCTGCGGGCGGCCGAGACCTTGGATGAGTCCGGAGGGGGCCTCGTGAGTCCCGGGGGGTCCCTGACCCTGGTCTGCAAGGCCTCCGGATACACCTTCAGCAACTACGCCATGTATTGGGTGCGACAGGCACCCGGGAAGGCGCTCGAGTGGCTCGCAGGTATTGACAGCTATGGTAGCACATACTACGCGTCGGCGGTGCAGGGACGCTTCACCATCTCCAGGAACAACGGGCAGAGCACGCTCACCCTGCAGATGAACAGCCTCAAGGCCGAAGACACCGCCACCTACTACTGCGCGAAAGGTGCTTACGGTGCTTATGGTTATACTCCTGATCCGATTGATGGTGCTGCTGGTGATGGTTCAGGACGTACCACTACCACCACTGATAATACCCGCAATGAACTGGACTCTGCTGGACACCCTGTCTGGGGGAAGGACAATTCCTGCCCAAGGTCTTCACAGCACAGCACCCCTAGATCTGGGGAAAAGTAGCCATGAAAGGGTAAAAGTGTAATCATAGAAATGTGAACAGTAAGATAAAAAGAGTCAAGGTGTCCCTCTATTTGAGGTGTCCCAAACATCCCCAGCTTCAGCAGCTACAGCATGAACTGGGTGCGACAGGCACCTGGGAAGGGGCTCGAGTTCGTCGCGGGTATTACCAGTAGTGGTGGTTACACAGAGTACGCGCCGGCGGTGAAGGGACGCTTCACCATCTCCAGGAACAACGGGCAGAGCACGGCCACCCTGCAGATGAACAGCCTCAAGGCCGAAGACACCGCCACCTACTACTGCGCGAAAGCTGGTAGTGGTTGGTGTGGTGGTAGTGCTGGTGGTGTTGATGGCTGACAGTATTAACATCACCAGCACCAGCACCAAGATCTCCAGGAGCACCAGCACCACCAATATCTTCAGCACCAACACCAGAACCATCAGCACTTTTCACGCAGTAGTAGGTGGCGGTGTCTTCGGCCTTGAGGTCATTCATCAGTAGGAAGAACACACTCTTCCCGTTGTTCCTGGAGATGGTGAAGCGTCCCTTCACTGCCGGCGCGTAGGCTGTGCTACCACCAGTGCTGCTAATTTCTGCGACGTATTCGAGCCCCTTACCAGGTGCCTGTTGCACCCAAAACATGTCAAAGTCACTGAATGTGAAGCCAGAGCCCTTCCAGACCAGGGTCAGGGACTATTGAGGCTGAGCCCACCGCTCTCTGTCCTTCCTCCCCAGGGCTGCGGGCGGCCGAGACCTTGGATGAGTCCGGAGGGGGCCTTGTGAGTCCCGGGGGGTCCCTGACCCTGGTCTGCAAGGGCTCCGGCTTCACCTTCGGCAACTACAGCATGTTCTGGGTGCGACAGGCACTTGGGAAGGGGCTCGAATACGTTGCAGCTATTAACACTGGTAGTACCACAAACTACGCGCCGGCGGTGAAGGGACGCTTCACCATCTCCAGGAACAACGGGCAGAGCACGGCCACCCTGCAGATGAACAGCCTCAAGGCCGAAGACACCGCCACCTACTACTGCGCGAAAGATGCTGGTAGTCATACTACAACTCCTGGTAGTGATATTACTGGTGCTCCTGGTGCTGGTTACATCGATGCTGGTGGTGACATTAAAAATGGTCTTGGTGATCTTGACGGTCTTGGCATTGATTGTGGTGGTGGTGCTGGTGGTGGTGGTGGTGGTGCTGGTCACATCGCTCATCTTGATCACCCAAATCCCTGGCATTCCACCCCAAATCATTTGCTGAACCCAACTCATTCCACTGACCCCAAAGTACTAAATTAAGCCCAAATTTCCTGCTCCATGCCCCAAACTTGCACCAGGGGGTCCCTGATCCTGGCCTTCAAGGGCTTCGGCTTCACCTTCAGCAGCTACCACATGGGATGGGTGCAACGGGAACCCAGGAAGGGACTTGAGTACGTCGCGGGTATTCAGAGCGATGGTAGCACATGGCACGACCCCGTTACGAGCAGTAGTAGCAGACCAACACGCAGGCAGAGCTGGGATGAGTTGTGTTGGGACCTTGCCATGGGCTGTGGATGAGACCAGCAGCACCAGCAGCACAAGCAGCACCAGCAACAGCATCAATCCAATCAATACCAGTACAACCAGTACGAGCATAACTTCTCGCGCAGTAGTAGGTGGCGGTGTCTTCGGCCTTGAGGCTGTTCATCTGCAGGGTGGCCGTGCTCTGCCCGTTGTTCCTGGAGATGGTGAAGCGTCCCTTCACCGCCGGCGCGTAGTAAGTGCCACTACCATCGTTCTCAATACTCGCGACGAACTCGAGCCCCTTCCCGGGTGCCTGTCGCACCCAATACATGGTGTAGCTGCTGAAGGTGAAGCCGGAGCCCTTGCAGACCAGGGTCAGGGACCCCCCGGGACTCACGAGGCCCCCTCCGGACTCATCCAAGGTCTCGGCTGCCCGCAGCCCTGGGGAGGAAGGACAGAGAGCGGTGGGCTCAGCCTGGGGGGTCCCTGACCCTGGTCTGCAAGGGCTCCGGCTTCTCCTTCAGCAGCAACGACATGGGATGGATGCGACAGGCACCCGGCAAGGGGCTCGAGTTTGTCGCGGGTATTGAAAATGATGGTAGTCCCACATACTACGCGCCGGCGGTGAAGGGACGCTTCACCATCTCCAGGAACAACGGGCAGAGCACGGCCACCCTGCAGATGAACAGCCTCAAGGCCGAAGACACCGCCACCTACTACTGCGCGAGAGGTGGTGCTGGTAGTGCTTGGGGTGGTGGTAGTGCTGGTAGTGTTAATGGCTGAAAATATCAGAGTAACCAGTACCATCATAAATATCACAAACACCATCACCAACACCATCAGCATGACCAGTACCACAACCAGTGTCATCAGCAGCTCCAGCATCAGCAGCACCAGCAATACCTTCACCATAACCCCAACCACCACCACCAGCTTCTTTCGCGCAGTAGTAGGTGGCGGTGTCTTCGGCCTTGAGGCTGTTCATCTGCAGGGTGGCCGTGCTCTGCCCGTTGTTCCTGGAGATGGTGAAGCGTCCCTGCACCGCCGGCGCGTAGCCTGTCCAACCACCACCAGTGCTAATAGCAGCGACGTATTCGAGCCCTTTCCCGGGTGCCTGTCGCACCCACTGCATGCCCCAGCTGCTGAAGGTGAAGCCGGAGCCCTTGCAGACCAGGGTCAGGGACCCCCCGGGACTCACGAGGCCCCCTCCGGACTCATCCAAGGTCTCGGCCGCCCGCAGCCCTGGGGAGGAAGGACAGAGAGCGGTGGGCTCAGCCGCACGGCACGGGCCCCCGCACGGCCGTGGGGAGCCGGGGCCGCCGGCAGCCTCCGCGGGACCGGGCCCTACCTGGGACGGCGGCCAGGAGGAGGAGGAGGGCGAAGGCGTGAGGCCGAGGACTCATGGTGGGGATTGAAGGGGTGCTGGGTGCTGTGGGGACGCTGTTGATGGCCATATTTGAAGGCGCCAGGAAGGGACTTCATTGCGTTTCCTCCTTGGGTTATTTCATTGCACGGAGGTATTTTGTAATAAGTCAACGGAGCCCAACGTCCTCTGTCCTTCCTCCCCAGGTCTGCGGGCGGCCGCCACCTTGGATGAGTCCGGAGGGAGCCTCGTGAGTCCCGGGGGGTCCCTGACCCTGGTCTGCAAGGCCTCCGGCTTCACCTTCAGCAGCTACCACATGGGATGGATGCGACAGGCACCCGGGAAGGGGCTCGAGTTCATCGCGCTTATTACCAGCAGTGGTAGCACATACTACGCGTCGGCAGTGAAGGGACGCTTCACCATCTCCAGGAACAACGGGCAGAGCACGCTCACCCTGCAGATGAACAGCCTCAAGGCCGAAGACACCGCCACCTACTACTGCGCAAAATGTGCTGGTAGTAGTTGTGCTTATGCTGCTAGGATTGATGGTGCTGCTGGTGACACTGGTTGTGGTACTGGTCATGCTGATGGTGTTGGTGATGGTTTTGTGATGATCATAATGGTCCAGGTGATGCTAATATTATCAGCCATCAACACACGAGCACAATCACCACTCCAATAACCACTAGCACTTTTCGCGCAGTAGTAGGTGGCGGTGTCTTCGGCCTTGAGGCTGTTCATCTGCAGGGTGAGCGTGCTCTGCCCGTTGTTCCTGGAGATGGTGAAGCGTCCCTTCACCGCCAGCGCGTAGTATGTGGTACCACCACTATCGGTAATACCCGCAACGTATTCAAGCCTCTTCCCAGGTGCCTGTCGCACCCAGCTCATGCCGTAGTAGCTGAAGGTGAAGTCGGAGCCCTTGCAGACCAGGGTCAGGGACCCGCCGGGACTCACGCGGCCCCCTCCGGACTCATCCAACATCAAGGCCGCCCGCAGCCCTGGGGAGGAAGGACAGAGAGCGGAGGGCTCTGCCTGGGGGGTCCCTGACCCTGGTCTGCAAGGGCTCCGGCTTCACCTTCAGCAGCTACGGCATGGGATGGGTGCGACAGGCACCTGGGAAGGGGCTCGAGTACGTCGCGAGTATTAACAGCAGTGGTAGTAGCACTTACTACGCGCCGGCGGTGAAGGGACGCTTCACCATCTCCAGGAACAACGGGCAGAGCACGGCCACCCTGCAGATGAACAGCCTCAAGGCCGAAGACACCGCCACCTACTACTGCGTGAGAGGTCCTAGTGGTTATACTACAGCTGCTGGTAGTGACATTGCTGGTGCTCCTGGTGCTGGTTACATCGATGGTGGTGGTGACATTAAAAATGGTCTTGGTGATGTTGACGGTCTTGGTATTGATTGTGGTGGTGCTGGTGGTGGTGGTGGTGGTCACATTGGTCATCTTGATCACCCAAATCCCTGGCATTCCACCCCAAATCATTTGCTGAACCCAACTCATTCCACTCACCCCAAGGTACTAAATTAAGCCCAAATTTACTGCTCCATGCCCCAAACTTGCCCCTGGTGGTCCCTGATCCTGGCCTTCAAGGGCTCCGGCTTCACCTTCAGCAGCTACCACATGGGATGGGTGCAACGGGAACCCAGGAAGGGACTTGAGTACGTCGCGGGTATTCAGAGCGATGGTAGCACATGGCACGACCCCGTTACGAGCAGTAGTAGCAGACCAACACGCAGGCAGAGCTGGGATGAGTTGTGTTGGGACCTTGCCATGGGCTGTGGATGAGACCAGCAGCACCAGCAGCACAAGCAGCACCAGCAACAGCATCAATCCAATCAATACCAGTACAACCAGTACGAGCATAACTTCTCGCGCAGTAGTAGGTGGCGGTGTCTTCGGCCTTGAGGCTGTTCATCTGCAGGGTGGCCGTGCTCTGCCCGTTGTTCCTGGAGATGGTGAAGCGTCCCTTCACCGCCGGCGCGTAGTAAGTGCCACTACCATCGTTCTCAATACTCGCGACGAACTCGAGCCCCTTCCCGGGTGCCTGTCGCACCCAATACATGGTGTAGCTGCTGAAGGTGAAGCCGGAGCCCTTGCAGACCAGGGTCAGGGACCCCCCGGGACTCACGAGGCCCCCTCCGGACTCATCCAAGGTCTCGGCTGCCCGCAGCCCTGGGGAGGAAGGACAGAGAGCGGTGGGCTCAGTCTGGGGGGTCCCTGACCCTGGTCTGCAAGGGCTCCGGCTTCTCCTTCAGCAGCAACGACATGGGATGGATGCGACAGGCACCCGGCAAGGGGCTCGAGTTTGTCGCGGGTATTGAAAATGATGGTAGTCCCACATACTACGCGCCGGCGGTGAAGGGACGCTTCACCATCTCCAGGAACAACGGGCAGAGCACGGCCACCCTGCAGATGAACAGCCTCAAGGCCGAAGACACCGCCACCTACTACTGCGCGAAAAGTGCTAGTAGTTATACTACAGCTGCTGGTAGTGACATTGCTGGTGCTCCTGGTGCTGGTTACATTGATGGTGGTGGTGACATTAAAAATGGTCTTGGTGATGTTGACGGTCTTGGCATTGATTGTGGTGGTGGTGGTGGTGGTGCTGGTCACATCGCTCATCTTGATCACCCAAATCCCTGGCATTCCACCCCAAATCATTTGCTGAACCCAACTCCTTCCATTGACCCCAAGGTACTAAATTAAGCCCAAATTTCCCGCACCAGCAGCAGCAGCAGCACCAGCAGCGCCATCAATCCAATCAATACCAGTACAACCAGTGCAAGCATAACTTCTCGTGCAGTAGTAGGTGGCGGTGTCTTCGGCCTTGAGGCTGTTCATCTGCAGGGTGGCCGTGCTCTGCCCATTGTTTTCGGAGATGGTGAAGCGTCCCTTCACTGCCGGCGCGTAGTATGTGGTACCACCACCCTCGTTAATACTCACAACAAACTCGAGCACCTTTCCAGGTGCATGTTCTAGCCATACCATGCCGACACTGCTGAAGGTGAAGCCGGAGCCCTTGCAATCCAGGGTCTGGGACCCCCCAGGCTGAGCCCACCACTCTCTGTCCTTCCTCCCCAGGGCTGCGGGCGGCCGAGACCTTGGATGAGTCCGGAGGGGGCCTCGTGAGTCCCGGGGGGTCCCTGACCCTGGTCTGCAAGGGCTCTGGCTTCACCTTCAGCAGCTACAGCATGTTTTGGGTGCGACAGGCACCCGGCAAGGGGCTTGAAAGTATCGCAGCTATTAACAACGATGGTAGTAGCACAGGCTACGCATCGGCGGTGAAGGGACGCTTCACCATCTCCAGGAACAACTGGCAGAGCACGGCCACCCTGCAAATGAACAGCCTCAAGGCCGAAGACACCGCCACCTACTACTGCGCGAGAGGTGATGATAGTGGTGGTTGGAGTATTGATAGTGCTGATGGCGTTGATGGGTCAAAATAGTAACATCACCAGTACGATTATCAGGACCAGAACCAGAACAAATATCACCAGCAGCACCAGGACCAGCATCAATTTCATTAGGATCACAAGAACCACTGTATGCCTCTTTCGCGCAGTAGTAGGTGGCGGTGTCTTCGGCCTTGAGGCTGTTCATCTGCAGGGTGAGCGTGCTCTGCCCGTTGTTCCTGGAGATGGTGAAGCGTCCCTTCACCGCCGACGCGTACCATGTGCTACTACCACCGCTGTTAATACTCGCGATGAACTCGAGCGCCTTCCCGGGTGCCTGTCGGATCCATCCCATGTGGTAGCTGCTGAAGGTGAAGCCGGAGCCCTTGCAGACCAGGGTCAGGGTCCCCCCAGGACTCACGAGGCCCCCTCCGGACTCAGAGAACCCGAGCACTGTGCTTCCTGTCACTCAGCTCCTCCATATCTCCCTTCCCTCCACCAGCCTCTGCTGCCGTGTGGCCGTCTGGCACCACATCTCCTCTCTTCAGATCTCACAGCAGTCCTTGGATAGTCCCAAACATCTCCGGCTTCTCCTTCAGCAGCTACGCCATGATGTGGGTGCGACAGGCACCCGGGAAGGGGCTCGAGTTTGTCGCGGGTATTGAGAACGATGGTAGTGGCACAGCCTACGCGCCGGCGGTGAAGGGACGCTTCACCATCTCCAGGAACAACGGGCAGAGCACGGCCACCCTGCAGATGAACAGCCTCAAGGCCGAAGACACCGCCACCTACTACTGCGCGAAAAGTGCTAGTAGTTATACTACAGCTCCTGGTAGTGACATTGCTGGTGCTCCTGGTGCTGGTTACATTGATGCTGGTGGTGACATTAAAAATGGTCTTGGTGATGTTGACGGTCTTGGCATTGATTGTGGTGGTGGTGGTGGTGGTGGTGGTGGTCACATTGGTCATCTTGATCACCCAAATCCCTGGCATTCCACCCCAAATCATTTGCTGAACCCAACTCATTCCATTGACCCCAAGGTACTAAATTAAGCCCAAATTTCCTGCACCAGCAGCACCAGCAGCACCACCAGCACCACCAATCCAACCACCAGCAGCACATCCAATCCCGTTATAACTTCTCGTGCAGTAGTAGGTGGCGGTGTCCTCGGCCTTGAGGCTGTTCATCTGCAGGGTGAGCGTGCTCTGCCCGTTGTTCCTGGAGATGGTGAAGCGTCCCTTCACCGCCGGCGCGTACCATGGGCTACTACCACTGCTGGTAATACCCGCGACCCACTCGAGCCCCTTCCCTGGTGCCTGTCGCACCCACTGCATGTTGTAGCTGCTGAAGGTGAAGCCGGAGGCCTTGCAGACCAGGGTCAGGGACCCCCCGGGACTCACTCAACCCCCTCCGGACTCATCCAAGGTCTCGGCCGCCCGCAGACCTGGGGAGGAAGGACAGAGAGCGGTGGGCTCCGTTGACTTATTACGAATTAACTCAATTCAGTGAAATAACCCAAGGAGGGTTAACCCAATTAATGCCCCCTTGGGCGCCTTCAAATACGCCCGTCCCCAGCATCCCCACAGCACCCAGCACCCCTTCCCTTCCCCACCATGAGTCCTCGGCCTCACGCCTTCGCCCTCCTCCTCCTCCTGGCCGCCGTCCCAGGTAGGGCCCGGTCCCGCGGAGGCTGCCGGCGGCCCCGGCTCCCCACGGCCGTGCGGGGGCCCGTGCCGTGCGGCTGAGCCCACCGCTCTCTGTCCTTCCTCCCCAGGGCTGCGGGCGGCCGCCACCTTGGATGAGTCCGGAGGGGGCCTCGTGAGTCCCGGGGGGTCCCTGACCCTGGTCTGCAAGGCCTCCGGCTTCACCTTCAGCAGCAACTACAACACTGAGTGGGTGCGACAGGCACCCGGGAAGGGCCTCGAATGGGTCGCGGGTATTTACAGTGGTGGTAGTTACACAAGCTACGCGCCGGCGGTGAAGGGACGCTTCACCATCTCCAGGAACGACGGGCAGAGCACGCTCACCCTGCAGATGAACAGCCTCAAGGCCGAAGACACCGCCACCTACTACTGCACGAGAGGTTATGCTGGTAGTGGTTATGGTAGTTGTGCTCATCCTGGTCAGATTGGTGGTGCTGCTGGAGCTGCTGGCATTGTTCATGGCCCAGGGAATACACCCGACACAACCAGTCCCAGCTTCCCGCAGCTCTTCTCACCATGAATACGGACAGCACCAGCACCAACGCCACCATGGTCATCATCATGAAGAGCACCAATACTGTCAGCACCACCACCAGCACCATCAGGAGCCTGACCACTACGATAGTCTTTCGCACAGTAGTAGGTGGCGGTGTCTTCGGCCTTGAGGCTGTTCATCTGCAGGGTGGGCGTGCTCTGCCCGTTGTTCCTGGAGAGGGTGAAGCGTCCCTTCACCGCCGGCGCGTAGTATGTGCTACTACCATCATCGTCAATACCTGCGACGTATTCGAGCCCCTTCCCAGGTGCCTGTCGCATCCATCCCATGCCGTAGCTGCTGAAGGTGAAGCCGGAGCCCTTGCAGACCAGGGTCAGGGACCCCCCGGGACTCACGAGGCCCCCTCCGGACTCAGAGAACCCGAGCACTGTGCTTCCTGTCACTCAGCTCCTCCACATCTCCCTTCCCTCCACCAGCCTCTGCTGCCGTGTGGCCGTCTGGCACCACATCTCCTCTCTTCAGATCTCACAGCAGTCCTTGGATAGTCCCAAACATCTCCGGCTTCACCTTCAGCACCTACTCCATGCATTGGGTGCGACAGGCACCCAGGAAGGCGCTCGAGTTTCTCGCGGGTATTGACAGCTATGGTAGTGCCACATACTACGCGCCGGCGGTGAAGGGACGCTTCACCATCTCCAGGAACAACGGGCAGAGCACGGCCACCCTGCAGATGAACAGCCTCAAGGCCGAAGACACCGCCACCTACTACTGCGCGAAAAGTGCTAGTAGTTATGCTGGTGATGTTTATCGTATTGATGCTGCACGTGGTGGTGATGTTGGAGTTGTGCAGAGCACACGGAAGGGCCTTGGACATGCATTTTTGGGTCTCCTCCACCATCCCCCTTCCATTTGGTGGTGTTTTCATGACCACCCTTCATCCCTTGGCCAACCTCCATCACCCTCTGCCCATGGAGCCCCTCCATCAGGGGGTTCTCCAGCAGGACCCTGGCCATGCGGTGGTCGAGACCTTGCAGAAACCCAAGGGGTACATCAGTCAACCATCGCCCTGAGGATTTCATGGGTGAAAAGGCTCAGAAGTGATGACCCCAGAGGCCAGTGCTGCGTGAGAAGAGCTGCGGGTGGACAACCTGATGGTGGCCAGGGTGAGTTGTGTCGGGTCCTTTCCCTGGGCCATGAGCAATGTCAGCAGCACCAGCAGCACGATCAATCTCACCAGGATGAGCACAACTACCATAACTACTACCAGCACCTTTCGCGCAGTAGTAGGTGGCGGTGTCCTCGGCCTTGAGGCTGTTCATCTGCAGGGTGGCCGTGCTCTGCCCATTGTTTTTGGAGATGGTGAAGCGTCCCTTCACCGCCGGCGCGTATCTTGTGGTACTACCATCGCTGCTAATACTCGCGACGTACTCAAGCCCCTTCCCGGGTGCCTGTCGCACCCAGCTCATGCCGTAGCTGCTGAAGGTGTATCCGGAGCCCTTGCAGACCAGGGTCAGGGACCCCCCGGGACTCACGAGGCCCCCTCCGGACTCATCCAAGGTGGCGGCCGCCCGCAGCCCTGGGGAGGAAGGACAGAGAGCGGTGGGCTCAGCCTGGGTAGTCCCTGACCCTGGTCTGCAAAGGCTCCAGCTTCACCTTCAGCAGCTACCACATGGGATGGGTGCAACGGGCACCCGGGAAGGGGCCCAAATACATCCTAAACTTTCGGAAGGGTGGTAGTGACACAAGGTACGCGTCGGCGGATCAGGGACACCTGGTCTCCAGGAGCTCCTGGTACAGGACGGCCACCCTGCAGATGAACAGCCTCAAGGCCGAAGACACCGCCACCTACTACTGCGCGAGAGGTGGTGCTGGTAGTGCTTGGGGTGGTGGTAGTGCTGTTAGTGTTAATGGCTGAAAATATCAGAGTCACCAGTACCATCATAAATATCACAAACACCATCACCAACACCATCAGCATGACCAGTACCACAACCAGTATCATCAGCAGCTCCAGCATCAGCAGCATCAGCAATACCTTCACCATAACCCCAACCACCACCACCAGCTTCTTTCGCGCAGTAGTAGGTGGCGGTGTCTTCGGCCTTGAGGCTGTTCATCTGCAGGGTGACCGTGCTCTGCCCGTTGTTCCTGGAGAGGGTGAAGCGTCCCTGCACCGCCGGCGCGTAGCCTGTCCAACCACCACCAGTGCTAATAGCAGCGACGTATTCAAGCCCTTTCCCGGGTGCCTGTCGCACCCACTGCATGCCCCAGCTGCTGAAGGTGAAGCCGGAGCCCTTGCAGACCAGGGTCAGGGACCCCCCGGGACTCACGAGGCCCCCTCCGGACTCATCCAAGGTCTCGGCCGCCCGCAGCCCTGGGGAGGAAGGACAGAGAGCGGTGGGCTCAGCCGCACGGCACGGGCCCCCGCACGGCCGTGGGGAGCTGGGGCCGCCGGCAGCCTCCGCGGGACCGGGCCCTACCTGGGACGGCGGCCAGGAGGAGGAGGAGGGCGAAGGCGTGAGGCCGAGGACTCATGGTGGGGAAGGGAAGGGGTGCTGGGTGCTGTGGGGACGCTGGGGACGGGCGTATTTGAAGGCGCCCAAGGGGGCATTAATTGGGTTAACCCTCCTTGGGTTATTTCATTGAATTGAGTTATTTTGTAATAATAAGTCAACAGAGCTCTTCGCTCTCTGTCCTTCCTCCCCAGGGCTGCGGGCGGCCAAGATCTTGGATGAGTCCGGAGGGGGCCTCGTGAGTCCCGGGGGGTCCCTGACCCTGGTCTGCAAGGGCTCCGGATACACCTTCAGCAGCAACGGCATGGGATGGGTGCGACAGGCACCTGGGAAGGGGCTCGAAGAGGTCGCAGCTATTAGGAACGATGGTAGTAGCACATGGTACGCGCCGGCGGTGAAGGGACGCTTCACCATCTCCAGGAACAACGGGCAGAGCACGCTCACCCTGCAGATGAACAGCCTCAAGGCCGAAGACACCGCCACCTACTACTGCGCGAGAGGTCCTAGTGGTTATACTACAGCTGCTGGTAGTGACATTGCTGGTGCTCCTGGTGCTGGTTACATTGATGGTTGGGGTGACATTAAAAATGGTCTTGGTGATGTTGACGGTCTTGGCATTGATTGTGGTGGTGGTGGTGGTGGTGCTGGTGGTGGTGGTCACATCGCTCATCTTGATCACCCAAATCCCTGGCATTCCACCCCAAATCATTTGCTGAACCCAACTCATTCCACTGACCCCAAGGTACTAAATTAAGCCCAAATTTCCTGCTCCATGCCCCAAACTTGCACCAGGGGGTCCCTGATCCTGGCCTTCAAGGGCTTTGGCTTCACCTTCAGCAGCAAGGGCATGGGATGGATCCGATAGGCACCCGGGAAGGGGCTCGAGATCGTCGCAGATATTAGCACTGATGGTAGTAGCACATACTAGGCATCGGCAGTGCAGGGACGCTTCACCATCTCCAGGAACAACGGGCAGAGCACGGCCACCCTGCAGATGAACAGCCTCAAGGCCGAAGACACCGCCACCTACTACTGCGCGAGACGTCATGGTTGCACTGGTTGTACTGGTATTGATTGGATTGATGGTGCTAATGGTGCTGCTGGTCCGGGAAATTTGGGCTTAATTTAGTACCTTGGGGTCAATGGAATGAGTTGGGTTCAGCAAATGATTTGGGGTGGAATGCCAGGGATTTGGGTGATCAAGATGAGCGATGTGACCAGCACCACCACCACCGCCACCACCACCACAATCAATGCCAAGACCGTCAACATCACCAAGACCATTTTTAATGTCACCACCACCATCAATGTAACCAGCACCAGTAGCACCAGCAATGTCACTACCAGCAGCTGTAGTATGACTACTAGCACTTTTCACACAGTAGTAGGTGGCGGTGTCTTCGGCCTTGAGGCTGTTCATCTGCAGGGTGAGCGTGCTCTGCCCGTTGTTTTTGGAGATGGTGAAGCGTCCCTGCACCGCCGGCGCGTAGAATGTGGTACCACCACCCTCGCTAATAGTCACAACAAACTCGAGCACCTTTCCAGGTGCATGTTCTAGCCATACCATGCCGACACTGCTGAAGGTGAAGCCGGAGCCCTTGCAATCCAGGGTCTGGGACCCCCCAGGCTGAGCCCACCGCTCTCTGTCCTTCCTCCCCAGGGCTGCGGGCGGCCGAGACCTTGGATGAGTCCGGAGGGGGCCTCGTGAGTCCCGGGGGGTCCCTGACCCTGGTCTGCAAGGGCTCCGGCTTCACCTTCAGCAGCTACAACATGCAGTGGGTGCGACAGGCACCTGGGAAGGGGCTTGAATACGTCGCAGCTATTAGCACTGATGGTAGTTACACAGCCTACGCGCCGGCAGTGAAGGGACGCTTCACCGTCTCCAAAAACAACAGGCAGAGCACGCTCACCCTGCAGATGAACAGCCTCAAGGCCGAAGACACCGCCACCTACTACTGCACGAGAAGTTATTCTTGCGGTGGTTGTACTGCTATTGATTGGATTGATGGTGCTGCTGGTGCTGCTGGTGCGGGAAATTTGGGCTTAATTTAGTACCTTGGGGTCAATGGAATGAGTTGGGTTCAGCAAATGCTTTGGGGTGGAATGCCAGGGATTTGGGTGATCAAGATGACCAATGTGACCAGCACCACCACCACCACCACCACCACCACAACAATCAATACCAAGACCGTCAACATCACCAAGACCATTTTTAATGTCACCACCACCATCAATGTAACCAGCACCAGTAGCACCAGCAATGTCACTACCAGCAGCTGTAGTATGACTACTAGCACTTTTCACACAGTAGTAGGTGGCGGTGTCTTCGGCCTTGAGGCTGTTCATCTGCAGGGTGGCCGTGCTCTGCCCGTCGTTTCTGGAGATGGTGAAGCGTCCCTCAACCGCTGGTGCGTAGTGTGTGCTACTACCACTGTAGCCAATTTGGGCGACGTATTCGAGCCCCTTCCCAGGTGCCTGTCGCACCCAATATATGCGGTATTCACTGTAGGTGTATCCGGAGCCCTTGCAGACCAGGGTCAGGGACCCCCTGGGACTCACGAGGCCCCCTCCGGACTCATCCAAGGTGGCGGCCGCCCGCAGCCCTGGGGAGGAAGGACAGAGAGCGGTGGGCTCCGTTGACCTATTATGAATTTACTCAGTGTAGTGAAATAACCCAAGGAGATGAATGCCCAATAACCCAATTAATGCCCCCTTGGGCGCCTTCAAATACGCAGCGTCCCCACAGCACCCAGCACCCCTTCCCTTCCCCACCATGAGTCCTCGGCCTCACGCCTTCGCCCTCCTCCTCCTCCTGGCCGCCGTCCCAGGTAGGGCCCGGTCCCGCGGAGGCTGCCGGCGGCCCCGGCTCCCCACGGCCGTGCGGGGGCCCGTGCCGTGCGGCTGAGCCCACCGCTCTCTGTCCTTCCTCCCCAGGGCTGCGGGCGGCCGCCACCTTGGATGAGTCCGGAGGGGGCCTCGTGAGTCCCGGGGGGTCCCTGACCCTGGTCTGCAAGGGCTCCGGCTTCACCTTCAGCAGCTACAACATGCAGTGGGTGCGACAGGCAACTGGGAAGGGGCTCGAATACGTCGCAGCTATTAGCACTGATGGTAGTTACACAGTCTACGCGCCGGCGGTGAAGGGACGCTTCACCGTCTCCAAAAACAACGGGCAGAGCACGCTCACCCTGCAGATGAACAGCCTCAAGGCCGAAGACACCGCCACCTACTACTGCGCGAGAGGTGGTGCTGGTAGTGCTTGGGGTGGTGGTAGTGCTGGTGGTGTTGATGGCTGAAAATATTTGAGTCACCAGTACCATCATAAATATCACAAAGACCATCACCAACACCATCAGTCTGACCAGTACCACAACCAGTGTCACCAGCAGCTCCAGCACCAACAGCACAATCAATCCAACCACGAGTACCACCACCATAACTACCAGCAGCTTTCGCGCAGTAGTAGGTGGCGGTGTCTTCGGCCTTGAGGTCATTCATCAGTAGGAAGAGCAGGCTCTGCCCGTTGTTCCTGGAGATGGTGAAGCGTCCCTTCACCGCCGGCGCGTACCATGGGCTACTACCACCGCTGTAAATACCCGCGACGTACTCGAGCCCCTTCCCGGGCACCTGTCGCACCCATGCCATGAGGTAGCTGCTGAAGGGGAAGCTGGAGATGTTTGGGACTACCCATGCACTGCAGCGAGCTCTGTTTTACCCCCAGTATCACAACATTTTGTTCCAAAAAATATTTTCCCATTGGTGGCTACCCTTGCCCCAAATAGAAGGATTCATTGCCTCTTATGCTTACTCTTGACCTCAGTATGGACAACGCTTTTGCCCTTTCATGGGTATTTTTGCCCCAAATACAGAGATGTTAGCCTCTATATACCCTCTCTGCCCCAAACACGAGCACCTGGCCCATTTTCAGGGGCAATGTGGCCACACAATGGGGGGTGTTTGCCATTTATGGATATTTTTCAATGCAAATAATACACATTTGCTACTTTTTAACACCAGTTTGAATGAAATTGGGGTGTTGATTATTATCCTGGCCATTAACGCACACATTACATAGATTTTTTCCTCCTTTTCCCTTTTTTCCCAGAATACTAGCATATTTTTTAGCACTTTGGGGCCACCTGAGTCCAAAATGTGGGAATGTCGTCCCACTCCAGAGATCAAAACCCCCGATTTGAGAAGTTTTTGCTGAGACCTGCAGCGCTGCCCAGCCAAGCGCAGCCAGCCAGATGTTTGTGCGGGGGCTATTTCTGGGCAGAAAAACGAGTTATTTTGGTACGGCCTGAAACCTCAGCAGCTGGAGCAGCCCCAAAACACGGCTGCTTTCTGTTTTCTGAGTCCATTTAAGAAGAGATGTCAATTGAATTACTCAGCATTAATATCAAATAACCCATCCCATTAAGTATTTCCATTTCATAAGTGATCAGGGATCAAGATGAAATAACTCAAAGCACCCCATGAATTAGTGCGGGGTAGGGAATTAAATGGAATTATGAAGAAATGAAACAAATGCTTGTCAAATATCAAAATGAAATAATTTCAGAGGCCCAATTAATTAGAATATGATGGAAAATGCCCCAAAAATCAAGTTTGTTGAGTTCCTTGTCTTCACCAAAGAACTGCAATGAGTTCCAGTCAAGAATCAACCATGAAATAATTGAGTGCGTGCAATTAATGAGTGCGTGGCATGGAATGCAATGAAATACCCCAAGGAGGAAACGCAATGAACGCCCACTCCTGGAACCTTCAAAAACGCCCCTCAACAGCATCCCCACAGCACCCAGCACCCCTTCCCTTCCCCACCATGAGTCCTCGGCCTCACGCCTTCGCCCTCCTCCTCCTCCTGGCCGCCGTCCCAGGTAGGGCCCGGTCCCGCGGAGGCTGCCGGCGGCCCCGGCTCCCCACGGCCGTGCGGGGGCCCGTGCCGTGCGGCTGAGCCCACCGCTCTCTGTCCTTCCTCCCCAGGGCTGCGGGCGGCCGCCACCTTGGACGAGACCGGAGGGGGCCTCGTGAAGCCTGGGGGCTCCCTGACCCTGGTCTGCAAGGGCTCCGGCTTCACCTTCAGCAGCTACGGCATGTATTGGGTGCGACAGGCACCTGGGAAGGGGCTCGAATACGTCGCGAGTATTGGCAGCAGTGGTAGTGGCACAGACTACGCGTCGGCGGTGAAGGGACGCTTCACCATCTCCAGGAACAACGGGCAGAGCACGGCCACCCTGCAGATGAACAGCCTCAAGGCCGAAGACACCGCCACCTACTACTGCGCGAAAAGTGCTTACAGTGATTGTGACGATACTAATGAAATTGATGCTGCTCCTGGTGCTGCTGGTGATATTTGTTCTGGTTCTGGTCCTGATAATCGTACTGGTGATGTTACTATTTTGACCCATCAAGGCCATCAGCACTATCAATATTCCAACCACCACTATCAGTAGCTCTCGCGCAGTAGTAGGTGGCGGTGTCTTCGGCCTTGAGGCTGTTCATCTGCAGGGTGAGCGTGCTCTGCCCGTTGTTCCTGGAGATGGTGAAGCGTCCCTTCACCGCCGGCGCGTAGTATGTGCTAGTACCACTGCTGCTAATTTGTGCGACCCACTCGAGCCCCTTCCCAGGTGCCTGTCGCACCCAGTTCATGTTGTAGCTGCTGAAGGTGAAGCCGGAGGCCTTGCAGACCAGGGTCAGGGACCCCCCGGGACTCACGAGGCCCCCTCCGGACTCATCCAAGGTGGTGGCCGCCCGCAGCCCTGGGGAGGAAGGACAGAGAGCGGTGGGCTTGTGAGTCCTGGGGGGTCCCTGACCCTGGTCTGCAAGGGCTGCGGATACACCTTCAGCAGCTACAACATGTGGTGGGTGCGACAGGCACCCGGGAAGACGCTCGAATGGGTCGCGGGTATTAGCACTGATGGTAGTAGCACATGGTACGCGCCGGCAGTGAAGGGACGCTTCACCATCTCCAGGAACAACGGGCAGAGCACGCTCACCCTGCAGATGAACAGCCTCAAGGCCGAAGACACCGCCACCTACTACTGCGCGAGAGCTGCTAGTAGTTATGCTGGTGATGCTTATGGTATTGGTGTTGCACGTGGTGCTGGTGTTGGTACCATGCAGAGCACACGGAAGGGCCTTGGACATGCATTTTGGGGTCTCCTCCACCATCACCCTTCCATTTGGTGGTGTTTTCATGACCACCCTTCATCCCTTGGCCAACCTCCATCACCCTCTGCCCATGCAGCCCCTCCATCAGGGGGTTCTCCAGCAGGACCCTGGCCATGCGGTGGTCCAGACCTTGCAGAAACCCAAGGGGGACATCAGTCAACCATCACCCTGAGGGTTTCATGGGTGAAAAGGGTCAGAAGTGATGACCCCAGAGCCCAGTGCTACGTGAGAAGAGCTACGGGTGGGCAACCTGATGGTAGCCGGGGTGAGTTGTGTCGGGGCCTTTCCCTGGGCCATGAGCAATGCCAGCAGAACCAGCAGCACGATCAATCTCACCAGGATGAGCACAACTACCACAACCACTACCACCGTAAGCATTTTTTGCGCAGTAGTAGGTGGCGGTGTCTTCGGCCTTGAGGCTGTTCATCTGCAGGGTGAGCGTGCTCTGCCCGTTGTTCCTGGAGATGGTGAAGCGTCCCTTCACCGCTGGCGCGTAGCTTGTGGCACCACCAGTGCTAATATATGCGACGAACTCGAGCCCCTTCCCAGGTGCCTGTCGCACCCAGTTCGTGTTGTAGCTGCTGAAGCTGGGGATGTTTGGGACACCTCAAATAGAGGGACACGTTGACTCTTATTATCTTACTTTTCACATTTCTATAATTACACTTTTACCCTTTCATAGCTACTTTTCCCCAGATCTAGGGGTGCTGTGCTGTGAAGACCTTGGGCAGGAATTGTCCTTCCCCCAGACAGGGTGTCCAGCAGAGTCCAGTTCCTTGTGGTTATTTACAGTGGTTGTAGTGATACGTCCTGAACCATCACCAGCAGCACCATCAATCGGATCAGGAGTATAACCATAAGCACCGTAAGCACCTCTGGCGCAGTAGTAGGTGGCGGTGTCTTCGGCCTTGAGGCTGTTCATCTGCAGGGTGGCCGTGCTCTGCCCGTTGTTCCTGGAGATGGTGAAGCGTCCCTTCACCGCCGGCGCGTAGTCTGTGCCACTACCCCTGCTGCTAATAAGTGCGACGTATTCGAGCCCCTTCCCCGTCCCTGTCGCACCCAGTACATGCGGTAGCTGCTGAAGGTGTATCCGGAGGCCTTGCAGACCAGGGTCACGGAACCCCCGGGACTCACGAGGCCCCCTCCGGACTCATCCAAGGTCTCGGCCGCCCGCAGCCCACATTCCCACCTTTTGGACTCAGCTGGCCCCAAAGTGTTCAAAATATGCTAGTATTCTGGGAAAAAAGGGAAAAGGAGGAAAAAACCCATGTGATAGGTGCATCAATAGCCAGAATAATAATCAACACCCCAATTTCATTCAAAATGGTGTTAAAAAGTAGGAAATGTGTATTATTTGAATTGAAAAATATCCATTTAGGGCAAAGAACCCTCATCGTGTGTCCATAATGCCCCTGAAAATGGGCCAGGTGCTCATGTTTGGGGCAAAGAGGGTATATAGAGGCAAACACCTCTGTATTTGGGGCAAAAATACCCATGAAAGGGCAAAAGCGTTGTCCATACTGAGGTCAAGAGTAAGCACAAGATGCAACGCGTTCTTCTATTTGGGGCAAGGGTAGCCACAAATGGGAAAATAATTTTTGGAACAAAATGTTGTGATACTGTGGGTAAAACAGAGCTCGCTGCAGTGCATGGGTAGTCCCAAACATCTCCAGCTTCCCCTTCAGCAGCTACCTCATGGCATGGGTGCGACAGGCGCCCGGGAAGGGGCTTGAGTACGTCGCGAGTATTTACAGTGATGGTAGTAGCCCATGGTACGCGCCGGCGGTGAAGGGACGCTTCACCATCTCCAGGAACAACGGGCAGAGCACGGCCACCCTGCAGATGAACAGCCTCAAGGCCGAAGACACCGCCACCTACTACTGCGCGAGAGCTACTGCTAGTGGTGGTTGGAATATTGATAGTGCTGATGGCGTTGATGGGTCAAAATAGTAACATCACCAGTACGATTATCAGGACCAGTACCAGAACAAATTTCACCAGCAGCACCAGGAGCAGCATCAATTTCATTAGGATCACAAGAACCACCGTAAGCACGTTTCGCGCAGTAGTAGGTGGCGGTGTCTTCGGCCTTGAGGCTGTTCATCTGCAGGGTGAGCGTGCTCTGCCCGTTGTTCCTGGAGATGGTGAAGCGTCCCTTCACCGCCGACGCGTAGCTTGTGTAACTACCACTACTGGTAATACCCGCGACCCACTCGAGCCCCTTCCCAGGCGCCTGTCGCACCCAGTCCATGGCGTAGCTGCTGAAGGTGAAGCCGGAGCCCTTGCAGACCAGGGTCAGGGACCCCCCAGGACTCACGAGGCCCCCTCCGGACTCAGAGAACCCGAGCACTGTGCTTCCTGTCACTCAGCTCCTCCACATCTCCCTTCCCTCCTCCAGGCTCTGCTGCCGTGTGGCCGTCTGGCACCACATCTCCTCTCTTCAGATCTCACAGCAGTCCTTGGATAGTCCCAAACATCTCCGGCTTCTCCTTCAGCAGCTACGCCATGATGTGGGTGCGACAGGCACCCGGGAAGGCGCTTGAGTTGGTCGCGGGTATTGACAACAGTGGTAGTAGCACATACTACGCGTCGGCGGTGAAGGGACGCTTCACCATCTCAAGGAACAACGGGCAGAGCACGGCCACCCTGCAGATGAACAGCCTCAAGGCCGAAGACACCGCCACCTACAACTGTGCGAGACGTTGTCGTGCTCCAGGTAGTGCTGCTGCTACTGGTGGTGATGGTGACTGCGCTGCTGATGGAGGTGTTAGTGGTGATGATGATGCTAGACATGATGATGACAGAGAGTATCGTGACAGTGGTTGGAGTGGTGATAGTGCTCGTATTTGTAACTATCACAATCACGAGCACTATTAAGACCCCCGAGACCTTCATCAACATCATCGTCACCATCGCCAACATAATCAACAGCACCAACACCATTAAGATCCATAACACCTTCAACATCCCCAACACCATTAACACCACCAACACCAGTAGCAGCACCAACACTATCATCATGGCGATCACCACAACCTGCATCACCAGCAGCACCATTGCCAGCAGCACGAGCAATCCCATAAGCATAATCATTACCGTAACCACTAGCAGCAGCTTTCGTGCAGTAGTAGGTGGCGGTGTCTTCGGCCTTGAGGCTGTTCATCTGCAGGGTGGCCGTGCTCTGCCCGTTGTTCCTGGAGATGGTGAAGCGTCCCTTCACCGCCGATGCGTAGTCTGTGTAACTACCACTGCTGTAAATACTCGCAACGTATTCGAGCCCCTTCCCGGGTGCCTGTCGCATCCATCCCATGTCGGTGCTGCTGAAGGTGAAGCCGGAGGCCTTGCAGACCAGGGTCAGGGACCCCCCGGGACTCACGCGGCCCCCTCCGGACTCATCCAAGGTCTCGGCCGCCCGCAGCCCTGGGGAGGAAGGACAGAGAGCGGTGGGCTCAGCCGCACGGCACGGGCCCCCGCACGGCCGTGGGGAGCCGGGGCCGCCGGCAGCCTCCGCGGGACCGGGCCCTACCTGGGACGGCGGCCAGGAGGAGGAGGAGGGCGAAGGCGTGAGGCCGAGGACTCATGGTGGGGAAGGGAAGGGGTGCTGGGTGCTGTGGGGACGCTGGGGACGGGCGTATTTGAAGGCGCCCAAGGGGGCATTAATTGGATTAACCCTCCTTGGGTTATTTCACTGAATTGAGTTAATTCGTAATAAGTCAACGGAGCCCACCGCTCTCTGTCCTTCCTCCCCAGGGCTGCGGGCGGCCGAGACCTTGGATGAGTCCGGAGGGGGCCGCGTGAGTCCCGGGGGGTCCCTGACCCTGGTCTGCAAGGCCTCCGGCTTTGACTTCAGCAGCAAGGGCATGGGATGGATGCGACAGGCACCCGGGAAGGGGCTTGAAGTGGTCGCAGTTATTAACAACGATGGTAGTAGCACATGGTACTTGCCGGCAGTGAAGGGACGCTTCACCATCTCCAGGGACAACGGGCAGAGCGTGTTCTTCCTACTGATGAGTGACCTCAAGGCCGAAGACCTTGAACACCGCCACCTACTACTGCGCAAAAAATGCTTACAGTGGTGGCAGTTACGCTTATCTAGGAGAGATTGATGGTGCTGCTGGTGCTTCTGACATTGCTCATGGCCCAGGGAAAG